GGGTGCGTTTGTCTCAGCCCCTTGAACCTTTTCCCTGCTCGTGGGAGGCCTGGGAAGCCCGGGAGGGTTAGGAGCTGGGGCCTCGTGGAAGCGACGGTGGGCGTTCCCGGCCGCCGCCTCCTTCCGCGTCACCTTCTAGCCAGGCGCACGGTTTTGGAATCAGTCATTGTTTGGGCTTGGGGCAAACAAATGTTTTGTGCCCCCAAATATACACCTTGGAATCTGAGCGCAGGACAGTGTGTGGTAGTTAAGAGGGCGGTTTGGGTTCCAGGCCTCCTGCCATCACGTATGGGTTGTGCTACCTTTGCAAGGGCAGCCGCCTCATCTGGGAAATAATGATAACAGTAACTATTGGGTAGGGTATTGAAGATTAAATGGGATCTTTAGGAAAAGAAGCAAAACCCACCATTATATCACCATCGTACATAAACAGTAGTGGTATTTCATCTTTTTGGGGGGGCAGGGAGTGCACATGTCCATAGAAGAGGGCTACAGCACTTACAGAAATGCCTTTTAATCTTTTAGTTTGAACTTATTGGATCCTGGAAAATCTTGAGATTCAGTCCTTCGTTCACCCATTTAACATATATTATGCATGGACGGGGTACAACAGTGGACAAAGTGGACCTCTGTCCTGGTGGAGCTTATGTTCAAACAGGGAGAGACAGATGATCAACAAGAAGCACAACAAACAAATAAGTTATTCAGGATGTTTGGTGATAAATGCAGTGGGGGGAAAANGAGAGACAGATGATCAACAAGAAGCACAACAAACAAATAAGTTATTCAGGATGTTTGGTGATAAATGCAGTGGGGGAAAAAAATTNGGATGTTTGGTGATAAATGCAGTGGGGGGAAAAAAAAGTTGAGTAGGGTAAGTGGAGTGTGTTTGGGAATATGCTGGGGATGGTAGCAGCGGGGTGGGTGACTATTTTAAAGAGGACAGTTGAAGTAGGCCTGATGGAGAAAATGTCATTTGTGGAGACCTGAGTAAGAGGAGGGAGAGGCGAGGTGTCCATGTAGCTCTCTAGAGTGGGAGTGTTGTAGGCAGAGAGAGCAACCGGCAAGCACTGAAGCCCCCCTCGAAGGTAGGAGGAGCCTGGTAACTTGAGAAGTACATTGTTCTTAATGGGAGAGATCGTCCGGAGTGTTACCTGGTGTGTGTTTGTCTTCCTCTTGCACCAGGGGCCATGGAACTTACATGGGGGAAGAGAAACTCATTGCGTCTGTGGCTGGTTCCGTGGAAAGAGTAAACAAGCTGATCTGTGTGAAAGCTTTGAAAACCAGGTGAGAACAGAAGGTGTGTATTCTCTTTCTTGTGGCATTCTTGTTGCACAACCAGGTCCTTTCTGCAGCACCATACCTCCCACCCCCACCTGTCTGCCCCGTCATTCTGTAGGCCTAGATTTGGAATGTGTAGGCGATTATAGGTAAGTTTGGGTGTCAAGGGTTCCCCCTCATTACCTGACCTTTCCAAACCTTTGTTACCTCCTCTGTAAAAGGATAGTGTCACAACCTACCTCGTGGTTTTTAATAGACCTCACTGAAAAGGTGCACGTAAGGTACTCAGCACGGGGCTCAGTAAAGGCTAACCCCAGAAAGGAGGCCAGTGGGTTGGGACAGAGTGAGCAAGAGAGGAGCTGAGGTGGTGGTCTACCTGCCTTGTAGCTGTGATAAGCATTTCGACTTCCACTTGTGTAATCCAGGAAGCTACTGGAGGGGGTGGAGCAGAAGAGGGACATGATCTGACTTCTGTTTTAATAAAATCACTCTGGCTGCTGCAGGGAGACTGGAGAGGGACAGGGGCAGGCTTACAGAGACCGATTAGGGGACTCTTACCAGCCGAAGTGATGGTGGTGGCTTGGACTAAGGTGGTAGCAGCAGAAGTGGAGAGTAATTCTGTGTTTATTTTATGTTCTGAGTGTGTTTGTCATGAAAGGGTGTGGGGGTTTGTATTTTTTGGTATTTTCTCTATACAGAACTGTGTCTGTGAGTAGAGATTGTTTTACGCTTTCCTTTGCAATGGGATGCCTTTTATTTTCTGTGTATATTTTGAAGGTAGAGCGGGATCTGCTGCTGGACTTGTCCTAGAGCTTTGAGGGGGGGCGGGATTGATTTCTATCTCCAAGACTCCTTAAGGTTTTTGGCTTGAGCAACTGGAGGGATGGAGTTGTCATTTACTGAGATGGCAACCACTGGGGAGGGTCAGTTGGTGAAGCAGGAGGGGGGCTGCTAGAAAGCTTTGTTTTAGGTTTGTTACATCTGAAAACGCCCATTATCCTGCCTACTAGAGATGTTGGGTAGCCAGCAGTTGACTAGAGTGTGGAATTCAGGGGAATGGTATAGTCATCAGTGGTATTTAAAGCCTTTAGGTTGGATGAGCTCACAAGTGAGTGTGGGCTGGAAAGAGAAGAGGTCCAAGGACTGAGCCTTCAGCATGGACACTTGTCATTAGAAGAGGGATGAAGAGCTAGCAAAGGGGCCTGAGACGAGCAGCCGGGGGTGGGAGAGACAGTGGGCAGACTGGTTTGGGTGGCATCCTGTCTCAGTGTCCTCTCTCCTTTCTTGGCTGATGCAGAGCCCATCTATGTTCCAGAGCCCCAGAAAATATCCTATGCTTACCATTATCATGTTAACAAAACAGAGGTTCAAGCTTAATAAACTGCTTGTAGTAAATGATTAAGAATAGTTAACGGGCCCTGGCCTCTGTGGCTCAGTGGTTAGAGTGCCGGCCCATCCACCAAAAGGTNTAAGAATAGTTAACGGGCCCTGGCCTCTGTGGCTCAGTGGTTAGAGTGCCAGCCCATCCACCAAAAGGTCGCTNCTCTGTGGCTCAGTGGTTAGAGTGCCGGCCCATCCACCAAAAGGTCGCTGGTTCGATTCCTGGTCAGGGCACATGCCCGGGTTGCAGGCTCGATCCCCATTCGGGGGCATGTAGGAGGCAGCTGATCAATGATGACTCTCTCATCATTGATGTTTCTCTCTCTCTCCCTCTCCCTTCCTCTGAAATCAATAAAGATATTTTAAAAAGAAAAAAAGATCAGTTCTCTGAAAATGAAGCGAACCAAGGTTTTAAAAAAACACACACGAAAAACAAAAAATAGTTAACGGAGACTATGCATGTAGGAACGTTTGAAATGATCAGTTCCTGAGGATAAGTCCGAACAGCGTAGTTATGTGAATTCACTAATCGTGGTGCCTGATCAAGGCCCTCCTCGTTTCACTGAAATCTTAAATGGCGCTTGGTTTTGTAATAAAGTCTTTTCACTGATGGATCCCCTTTTGTTTTGTCTTTCAGATATAATGGTGAAGTCGGTGACATCGTAGTGGGGAGAATCACAGAGGTAAATCAATAGCGTATTGGTGTTTACAGAGTAAAAAAGCAAGCTGGTGATTTAACGAATGGGATACTCATTCTTTGTGGACGAAGTTACTTGGACGAAGCAGCCATTGCCTTGGGCTCTCATTTGTGACTGGGATGTGAACAGTTGGCTTGTTACATTGGGGGTTTCTGGTCACTTATGTTGTGAGGTTTGCCCTTGGATTATGTGTCCAGGTGTGGGGTTTCTGTTTCTAGGTTCAACAGAAGAGGTGGAAGGTGGAGACCAACTCCAGGCTGGATTCAGTCTTGCTTCTGTCATCCATGAACCTTCCCGGAGGAGAGCTGGTAAGGGCTCCAGCTTGGCCTGTGAAGTGTGCTGCCGAGAGCTCTGCTCTACACCAAGGTTGCCCCACTTACTCCTGCTTGTCTGCTCTGAAGTCTGCTGCCCTGATGTACACGCACACGTAGGCTTTTCACTTGGCCCAGGTCTCCCAACATAGGCAGCAGCTGGTGTATGGTAAGATCTAGAGGCGTCCGTGGGGAGGAGTCCCAGAAGGGAGTTGGGAGAGAAGCTCTCAGGCTCGGTGCTAATGGTTTTTCTTCTTTGGGCACATCAGCTCTGCACAGTGGACTTGTTCCTTGAAAAGTTATGTTTTGTGTTTCGATTAGATTCCACAAACCAAGTAGCATTTGTTTATTCCAGGCAACTGCAGCACCTAGGCTGCAGCCTTTTGTAAAATGCCACAGTTTCCCTTTACCTTCTGCCCAGCATATGTTCAGAGAGGCTTCCTGTGGTAGGTTCTGTGGAGAAAGCAAGACAAAGGAGGCTTGACTGAGTTCCTGAAAGCTTACAGACAACTAAGGATGCAGATAACATGTGAATACCTGGCAGGCAAAAAACAAGCGTGGGGTTGTACAAAGAGTGGTCGGCTTCCGTGGGAGAAGCTCATAGGAAAGATGGGCACAAGAGTTGGTCCTTGAAGGATGGGTAGAATTTTAGTGATGAACTCAGGACATCTGAGAGAAAGGGGAATGTGTGAGCAAAAGACACAGTCAGGCTGGAGGTGGCTGCTCCTGCAGGAGGTGGGAGGGCTGCCGCCAGGGTCAGTGGGAAAATAGGCTGGGCTAGATACAGAGCGTTCGAATATCATGTCTGGAGTTTGAGTATTTTTCAGAGGTGGTAGAAGGAGCACTGGGAAGGTCGTAAGTGGTTGTCACTTGTTTCCTCGAGGGGCACAGGTTACTGCACTAGTGTTTGGGTATTGTGGCTGCCTTTAGGGGTCTCGAAGTGAATGAGAAAAAGGCAGTAGAGAGATCTCTGGAGGAGCTGACTTCAGTTTCACGTCTGTGTGTATTTCAGAGGAGAAGATCTGCGGAAGATGAGCTGGCGATGAGAGGTTTCCTGCAGGAAGGGGACCTTATCAGTGTATCCTGCACCCGCACCTCAGCCCCTTTATGCTCTGCGTGGAGCCGGGAAATGGGGCTGGAACTGTCTGTCTCCCATGGGAGGAACATCGCAGTCCTAGATCGAGTGTTGGGCTCTCTTGTAGCCTTTCTCCAGCTCCTTCATCCAGGCTACTCTCCAGCCCTTGTTCACATCTGGAGCTGCTGAGTCATTCCTTTGAGTCTCGTAACTAATGGTCGCCCATGCTTTAAGCTAGACTCAAATTTTCTTAGCTACGTTAACTTTTATCCCAGGGAATAGAAAAAGTTTGTTCATATCAAGATATTCATGAC